TCTGAAATAGATGAATATTTTTCTGCTTCTTTAGTTAGATGTCAAGGAAATGCTTTAGATATTTTGCAATGGTGGAAAGTATATGGATCAGTTTCATATCCTATACTTTCCACCATGGTTCGTGACTTACTAACAGTGCAGGTTTCGACGGTAGCTTCGGAATCCGCCTTCAGCACAGCAGGTCGTTTGATCGACGATCATAGGACATGCTTGGATCCGTATACTGTACAAGCGGTGATGTGCTTACAAGATTGGTGGAGGTACGAGAAGCGAACGCAAGGCATCGATCGGATGGCTGGAATTGAAGATAAATTTGAAGAATTGGGACTAGCAGATAGATATAAAGAATAGATTGTAGTTTTTATATCTTAGCTTAAAATTTGTAAAGAATTATTTTGGAAATAATTGCAAATGATAGTGATATAGGTGAGTAGGTGCCAACCTAGTTGGGATTTACTTATCTATTGTGATGCGATTAATTCCAAAATAAATTTGTACTTGTAATTTGTAACTGATTTATCAATTATTAATAAAGAATTTGTTTTTATCATTTTTTATTTATAATTTATGTCATTTTAAGTAATTAATAAAATTATTGTTTTTATTATTTTTCTTATCTTTTTTTATAATTTAAAATTTAAATAAAATTAAAAAAATTTGGGAAAAAAAAGGAAAATCAACCGGGCCAGCCCGGAACCCGGCCCGGTCGGGCCCGGGCCCGGGCCCGGACCCGGCCCGGATTTTCGAGCCGGGCCGGGCCGGCCCGGATGGACAGGCCTAATCACAAGGAGTGATCCGAGCCTTGTAAAGGAGCACGAAATATCAAAACTATTACATATTTGACATATCTATGACTCGGAACATTCTACATGTTGCGGAGTGTTCTCATAAGATTCGCGCTTCCATATTAATATGACCCAGTAAATCGCTTCACAATGAATCGGATCAATTATGGTCACTGAAGTTAGGGGAGAAAATTAAGTCACGAGTTCTATACTTTTAGTTATTTTATATATTCTATCTTGGGCCGTTCCATGTCCGACTCATTTGCCAGAAATTGGGGATGGTTGCATAACTAATCCTTTAGCTTGATTAAATAAACCAATTTTGTCTTAGCCCAAGTATCCTAAGTCTTATTAGTACATCATATGTGATTTTAATTGGCCTGAGGCCGTTATAAAGGAACAAGTTGCACCGAAATGGAATTTTCTTTTTGTGTTGCGTGTAGTCGATGATCGAACAAATTATTTTCTAGGGTTTTTTTTCTTAGAAACGATCTTAAAAATAGGGTAATAACACTGGTAGAAAAACGAGCAATCTATACGGAAATTTCCGTCTAGGTTGCTCCATTTCCCGTCTAGGTTGGTACAACTAGACGGAATTCCATCTAATTTGTTCCGTCTAGTCTGATTTCGTCTAGGTTGGGGCAAACTAGACGGACATCAATGATACGGGTGTATCTTCTTCCTTTCTTCGGGAGCTTAGCGATCCTCACAGGTGCTTGAGGATAGATGATTCTCATGGTATCTTGAGAATAAAGACGTGAATGAAGTCGTTGAAGGCGGCAACGTCAAAGAGTACGGGAAAAACTGCAGGAAACACTTTGGACTTCCAGCGGTCGACCACACGTGACGTTGTGGTCAACCGCGAACGTGCACAACTCAGTAAAAGTCTTTGGACTTTTCGCGGTCGACCATGATGGGTTCTGCGGTCGACCGCCAAACCCTGTAGTCGATATTGAGTTTCTGTCATTCTGTCCGATCGACCGCGATGGGTTCTGCGGTCGATCGCCAAACTCTGTAGTCGATACTGAGTTTCTGTCATTCTATCCGGTCGACCGCACATGTCTCTGCGGTCGACCGCGAGTCAGGCTGGGCCAGACTTCCAGTTTCCTGTTCGCTTTAGGTTTTGTGTTTGATATATATTAAAACACGACTTTTCTAGGGTTTCATAACCAGATTGTATTCAGAAATGAGATCAGGGAGATTGTTCTTTCATCTAGAGAGATTGTAAGAGAGGGATATGTAATCTATTATTTCTCATAATCTAGATAATGTATTTTCCTTCGTCAAGACTGAATTGTTCTTGTGTTTTCTATTGTCTTCGTCTCAACCCACTCTTGATAATTCCGCGATCAAGGGTGCTCGTCCGGCGACTCGTATCAAGTTGGTATCAGAGTGATTAGATCATGTGAAGGGGGGATCTGTGTATGGTCCTTACTCGATCGTAATACAAGAAGCTAGACGAGATCCTTATTTCTTTGGAAGGAGTTCAGAAATTAAGGAAGAAGAAGATGACTGAAGGGGATAGTTCAGCGAGACTTGATGCATTGGAGAAACAGATGGAGACAATGAGTTCGACTCTCACACAGCTCGTCAATCTTTTCCAAGAAAAGGATAAAAAGGAGGAATCTTCTTCGAAAGGCAAGAAGAAACTTGTAGAATCCGATAGGGAGTGCGAGGAATCTGATTCTGATAAGGAGACCGAGATTGTCAAGACTGTTCCGCATCAAGGGGGTAAGGGTTCTTACCAGAATTTAAAAATAGACTTCAAGGTGGAGATTCATGTTTATGATAGGAGTGTCAACGTCGAGAGGCGTGATGATTGGATTGAGCGGATGGAGACATATTATATCCTCTATGGATATTCATTCAAGGAGAAGCTCATGTTCGCGACTTTAAAGCTTTCGGGGCATGCATTGACATGATGAAAATCCTATTGCAAGCAGGAAAGGAAGGCGGTATCGTGGAACAAGTTCAAGAAACTATTACAGAAGCAATTTTATCTGGTGGGATTCCTTAAGAAGCGTTGGTACAAGTGGTACGGCTTTCACCAAAGAGTCAATCAAACCATTCAAGAATATATCACGGAGTTCCAGCAGCAGGCGGTGATCCTCAATATTGCGACGGAGGAATATTCTGTGTTGATGAAGTATATGGCGGGTTTGAGCGAGTATATTCGGAAGGAGATGAAGCTATTCACAGTGGAATCTATTGCAGAGGCGAGTGTGAAGTCTATTGCCATTGAAGACAAGCATAAGAGGAGCAACGAATCCAAAGGAGAGGCTAAACAAACTGGAGGCGAGTCTAGTGGTTCTCAATCTAAGGAGGAGAAGAAGAAGGATGATTCAGGAAAAGCAGAGATGATTTGTAATCATTGAGAGAAGACATAACACGTAGTTGATCGGTGTTGGGAGAATTATCCTTATCTCAAACCAAGGGGGTTGAAGAAGAAGGAGGAGAAAAAGGCATACATGATAGCTCAAGTTCCGAAAGAAGTCCCGGCGATAACAGAACCCAATAATAGTATTAATCTTATGACGGGGAAACAGATCACGAAAGAGGATGACGACCCTAGAGAGCAGCTCTTTGTTCTTAAGTTGCAGGTCAATACCAGTTTGGTTGATGTCATAGTTGATCCAGACAGTAAGAAGAATTTGATATCCGATGCCTTGATTCGGAAGCTGAGTTTGAAGACAGTCAAGCATCTAAAGCTCTATCCATTAGGGTGGATTCAGAAGGAGACGGGACTTAGTGTAGTTAATTAATACACTTTCAGATTTGCACCCCATGAGTCGTATATTGACGAGGTCACGTGCGATGTGGTTTCATTGGATATTTGTCAGGTTATACTGGGCAATTCCTATTTGTGGGATAGATACTCGATCTACGAGAGGCGGGCTCTGAAGTACACATTCACCAAAGATGGTAAATAGTTCATATTTCGTTCAACATCTCTTTTGAAGGAGACAAACTTGGTGATGGTGAATCGAGCGAAGAGGCTAGTGAATGCAAGCAAGAAGTTTGTTGCGCTATGCATTAGTTCTTATGAGGAGCCGCTGAAAGAGGGTTGCAATTTAGAGCGGAAGGTGACTACGACGAGACGTGGGATGAAGAAGTTGTTTCCGATCGGACGTCGAGACTAAATTCCTAGCAAGGCCAAGTGGTTTAGAAAAGAAGGAAGCGCTCGCGAGTTCCCTCGGCTACAGTTCTAACTTGAACGGAACTTCAAGTTCCTAAAAAAGGGAGCCATTATACGGGTGTATCTTCTTCCTTACTTCGGGAGCTAAGCGATCCTCATTGGAGTTTGAGGATAGATGATTCTCATGGTATCTTGAGAATAAAGACATGGATGAAGTCGTTGAAGACAGTAACGTCGAAGAGTACATGAAAAACTACAGGAAACACTTTGGACTTCCAGCGGTCGACCGCACGTGACGCCATGGTTGACCGCGAACGTGCACAGCTCAGGAAAAGTCTCTGGACTTTTCACGGTCGACCGCGATGGGTTCTGCGGTCGATCGCAAGGCCCTGTAGTCGAATATATATATTAAAACACGACTTTTCTAGGGTTTCATAACCAGATTGTATTCAGAAACGACATCAGGGAGATTGTTCTTTGATCTAGAGAGATTGTGAGAAAGGGATTTGTAATCTATTATTTCTCATAATCTAAAGAAAGTATTTTCCTTCGCCAAAACTGGATTTTTCTTGTATTTTCTATTGTCTTCTTCTCAACCCACTCTTGATAATTTCGCAATCAAGGGTGCTCGTCTGGCGACTCGTATCAATCAACCTAGACGGAAGTAAGAAATCCATCTAGGTTGGCGACTAGACGGAATTCCGTCTAGGCTGGTACTGTTGCTACAGTAGCAACCTAGACGAAATTCCGTCTAGGTTGCTTCGCTATAGTAGTTTTTTGTGTGTGCAGAATCTATGTTCCAATTGCTATATAATATCCAACACCAAATTATGTTCATATCCAACCCAATCTAACTATATTTCAATTTCAAATACAATTATATTCAAATAATACATTCACCAAAATACTAGAGTGTAACATAAATTATTTACATAGATCAAATACAATTATATTCAAATAATACATTCACCAAAATACTAGAGTGTAACATAAATTATTTACATAGACAATAACTAATTTTCACACGACATTCACCAAAATACTAGAGTGTAACATAAATTATTTACATAGACAATAACTAATTTTCACACGTCAATGATTTATACAATGAAAGAGTTCACAAAACCCATGAGAAAGGTAAATTTACAGATGTGAAGAGAAGTAGAGACAAAGTAGTATTATTCCCAATCAGAATCAAAGAAACTGACATCCTTCATTCCAGAGTAGTATACATTCTCCAAACGCATGTCATCCTCCTGTATCAATACAGGATAAAAAAATCCAAATACGAAACATAAAATCCAATAGAACAAACCAATGGAATAAAAAACATAAGCAAGCATAAACATGAGAGAACAAAAAGCTTCTCACAATTCACAAATGTCAAACGTCATATCCAAAATGTAATGAAAGGTATTATAATAAACCAATGTCATTGATTTAATTCACTATTGAGGCATGCAACAGGCCATGGAGGTCATTGTCAAGTCCATTGAGTATTTTGAGGGAAAAATAATTTATGAGTTGTATAACTTGATTGAAGAACATGGATTGATTTGGGTCTTAACAATATGCAACCTGAATGCAATTATAGTTGGTTCTAAGTTATCGTGCAAATGCTTTATGCTTGTGATATGGAGCATAAAAGAATGTAATCAGCACTGGTTTACTATGTACTAAGATTCACTTTTAATTGATGAATGGGCATTAAAATCGATACTCAATACGGACATTAACGTAAACAAACGAAATGTGGCATTAACGTTGATAGTCAAAATGAACATTGACGCTCACAAACAAAATTCGGCATCAACGTTGATACTTAGAACTGGTAAAAACACCCACAAAATGAATTCGGCATTAACATGGATACTAAAAAAAAATGAATTCAGCATTAAATTGATCTCACACATGTTTTCCTGTACATTTACTACCCAAGTTTTATCCAGCACAGCAAATAATATGCAAACATGGAGGAAAAATGAGGGCAACAAACATGAAAGAAAAGGAGTTGCAGAGGATCGAATAACTTACACCGGAGGAGGCTGTTGACTTTCAACAAGAAACATGTGAACAAGTTCACTTCCAGTGTTATTGCCAGATCCATTGCCACTGCCAAAAAAAGAAAAAGAAATTAGATTCAAAAAAAGGAAGAAATAATAAAGTCAATTTTTGATTCAAACCTAGTCTTCACAACACACGCACCTTTTCTCTTTCTGTATATATTTAAGAGCACTGGTTTCATGATTTGTTGTATTAATGCCTTTTAAGTACTAATGCCTACATATTTGGACACGGACCTGGGTGGGCAATGTTGATACCTATTTATCATTGGTTGGACATCTAAAGCTTCAAAATATTTTGTTCATGGCATGACTGACCAGTAAAAAAGAACCCAGCATTAATGTCAACATTCTGAACATGAAGAGGCCATCCCTTCATAAAACAAAGAAAGCTACAGATATCATCTTTAAATGTACCCATAAATACCTTGTTTCCTCCAAGTAAATTGCATGGGTAACTTTACATTATGCAGCAGTCTCAAATTCAATGCATTATGTAACGTGTAATTTCTTTCCTCTTATTTTTTTAGTTGTGCGCCTGATGTTAATTCCTTCAATATTTTATCTATACGTAAGTTTACAAAATCCTTTTTTCTCCTTTGTGTATCTCATGACCTTCATGCTAATTAAGAAGGCGATTAGTGAGGGCTATGAATGTTATTGGCACTATAGTCTTGATTATATTACCACTAAACTGAGTACAGTAGTAGTATTTCTTATTAGAATTCATCACCAACTTAGATTATTCTAGAACAACTTTCTAGAACTTCTTTCTAGTAACATCCTACAAAATATCTACCATGAAGTTTCTAGGAAGATACAAGTGTATGGCTAGTATTTATTCTTCTAGAAACTTCTTAGTAATGTATGGCTAGGATTAACTCTTCTACACACTTCCTAGCCCTCTTAAACAACTATAAATAGGGGTCTTGTGCTCTCATTTGGGCAAGCAAGCAAGCAAGCAAGAAGTAAGCTTGAAAGCTTGAGTGTGTAGTGTAGCCTTGTGTGAGTGTCCACCAAAATAAAGGAATTGTGTGAAAGTGAGGTGTTCTTGTAAGAACAAGTGTTGTATTCTCAAGTGTTCTATCAATAAAAGTTTCCTTTGTGTAGAGTGTTGTGTTCTTCAAATTCCATCAAAGTGGTATCAGAGCAAAGTTCGATCTAGCCGGGCCAATCGAAGGTGCTCGTGTACGAGATGGCGAACATGATCCAGCCACAGATTCCGAAGCTGATGAAGACCAATTACGACAACTGGAGTATCCAGATGAAAGTCTTGCTCGGCTCGCAAGACTTGTGGGAGCTCGTGGAGAATGGCTACACTGAACCAGAGTCACTTGCAGCAGAAGCAACTCTCACCGCCACACAGAAGAGTGAGCTGAAGGAGGTCAGAAAAAGAGACAAAAAAGCTTTGTTCCTAATATTCCAAGGCGTAGATGAATCTGCGTTTGAGAAGATTTCCAATGCCCTGTCCTCTAAAGAAGCATGGGAGATTTTACAAAAATCCTATCAAGGTGCGGAAAGAGCCAAAAAGGTACGCCTCCAAGCATTAAGAGTTGAATTTGAAAATTTGAAGATGAAAGCTACAGAATCAATATCGGATTATTTTAGTAGAGTTCAGACAATAACAAATCAAATGAAGAGAAATGGAGAAGCAATTAATGATGTAAGAATTATGGAGAAGATACTTAGGACTTTAGACTCTAAATTCAAATATATTATTCCGGCAATACAAGAGTCTAAAGATCTTTCCGAAGTATCTATTGATGAGCTGCAAGGTTCTCTGCAAGCTTATGAACAAGATATAAACATTAGTTCAAATCAAGCGGAGAATCTAGAACAAGCCTTGCAGAGTAAGATGACTATCAAAGAAGATAGTCGAAGAGGACGTGGAGGCTACAGAGGCAGAGGCTCATTTCGAGGTGGCTCAAACTTCCAGCAAGGTCGTAGGAGACAGTACCAAGGAGGCCATGAAAATCAAGATCGAAATAGAGATCGTGAACGATCATTCGATCGAGGACGAGGTCGTGGCACACGAGGACGAGGACAAGGAAGAAGTTACCATGAGGACAGATCTCAGCCACAGTGTTACAAATGTAAGAGATACGGTCATCTCAGCTACGAATGTTGGGAGAAATCAAATCAAGTGGCAGAAAGAAGCAACTTTGTAGAAAGGGAGCAGGCAGACACTTCAACAGTCCTGTTGACGTACCAGGAGAGCGAAAGCAAGAATAAAGATATCTGGTATCTAGATTCAGGTGCCAGTAACCACATGTGCGGCATCAAGGAGTTCTTTACCGAGCTGAACGAGATGGTACAAGGAGATGTCACTTTTGGAGATCAGTCAAAGATTCCAGTAAAAGGCAAGGGAAATATAATGATCCAGACAAAGACGGGCGAGAACAGGTACATCTCTGATGTCTACTATGTTCCAGCATTACGAAATAATATTTTGAGCCTAGGCCAGCTCCTTGAAAGAGGCTATGATATACATCTAAAAGACCTTGCCCTCACTATTAAAAATAAAAATGAAGTTATTGCAAAGGTGAACATGTCTAGAAATAGACTGTTTACCTTAAATATTCATGCTGACCCTGTCAAGTGCTTGAAGTCAATCATAAAAGACGAGACTTGGCTCTGGCATCTACGATTCGGGCATCTCGCTTTCAGTGGCCTGAATCTTCTATGGAAGGAGAAAATGGTAAAAGGATTGCCGCAAATCAACCATCCGAACCAGCTATGTGAAGGCTGTATGAAGGGCAAACAACATAGAAGAAGTTTCGAAGTTGGAAAGTCAAGAAGAGCAACAGAGTTGCTACAATTGGTCCACACAGATATTGCAGGACCATTTGAAGTCATCTCTCTTGGAGGAAACAGGTATTTTCTCACATTTATTGATGATTATAGCAGAAAAACTTGGGTTTATTTCCTGAAGGAGAAATCCGAAGCTCTGGAGAAATTCAAAGAATTCAAGGAGATGGTAGAAAAGCAAAGTGGGTACCACATCAAAGTGCTCCGATCAGATCGAGGTGGAGAATACACTTCGAAGGCATTCAACAATTTCAACAAGCAGTACGGGATAATTCATCAACTCACTGCCGCCTACACACCACAGCAGAATGGCATAGCAGAGCGGAAGAATCGTACCATTCTTGATATGGTCAGAAGCATGTTGAAGAGCAAGTACCTGCCAAAGACTTACTGGGCTGAAGCCGTGGACTGTGCAGTTTACCTCCTCAACAGATGTCCGACAAAGAGCGTCAAGTTCAAGACACCATTGGAGATGTGGAGCAACATCAAGCCAAGTGTCAACCACCTGAAGGTGTTTGGGTGTATTGCATATGCACACATCCCGGAGCAGAAAAGAAAGAAGTTGGACGATCGAGGAGAAAAGTGCATATTCGTTGGGTACGAGAGGAGGACAAAAGCATACAAGCTCTACAATCCAGTTACAAAGAAGATGATCATTTCAAGAGACGTGGAGTTCGATGAAGAAGATTATTGGAAATGGACCGATGAAGATAAAAATATTAAAGGTATGTTCTTTGAAGATAATGATGATGACTTGCAGGAGGTTGGAAGACCAGAACAAAGTCCACCTAATAGTCCAGCTCCATCAACCCCAACATCAACGCCGACATCATCCAGCTCAAGTGAAGGAAGCTCTTCAGGGGGAGCAACAAGGAGGATGAGAAGCCTAAGAGATCTGTACGACGATACAGAGCCTGTCGAGATGATGGATGACTACACACTATTCTGCTTGTTTGCAGAATGTGATCCGGTCAGCTATGAAGAAGCTGCTCAAGAAGATAAGTGGAGAAAAGCCATGGATGACGAGATCGAGGCAATCAAGAGAAATGACACATGGGAGCTCACTACCTTACCTGAAGGCCATAAACCAATCGGAGTAAAGTGGGTGTACAAGACAAAGACAAATCAAGATGGCGGAATCGAGAAGTACAAGGCCAGGCTTGTTGCAAAAGGCTATAGTCAGCGAGAAGGAGTTGACTATGAAGAAGTGTTCGCACCAGTCGCGAGGATCGACACCATCCGACTCATTATCGCATTGGCAGCACAGAACCGGTGGAAGATCTACCAGATGGACGTGAAGTCTGCATTCCTGAACGGCTACTTAGAAGAAGAAGTCTACATCAAGCAACCACCAGGGTACGAGGTGAAGAATCAAGAAGACAAAGTCTACAAGCTGAAGAAGGCATTGTATGGACTGAAGCAAGCGCCCAGAGCATGGAATGCCAGAATCGATGCATACTTCCAGAAGAACGGATTCCATCGGAGCCCGTATGAGCACTCTCTCTATACCAAGAAGAAGGATGAAGACATCATGATCGTATGTCTCTACGTGGACGACATGATCTTCACCGGCAACAATCCGAAAATGTTCGAGGAGTTCAAAAAGAATATGATCAAGGAGTTCGAGATGACTGACATTGGAGAAATGTCATACTTTCTTGGAGTAGAAGTGTCGCAATCAGAGAAAGGAATCTTCATCTCTCAGAAGAAGTATGCAAAGGATATCCTTCAGAAGTTCAACATGAGCAACTGCAATCCAGTCGCAACTCCTGCAGAAGTCGGAGTGAAGCTGAGGCGAGACACACCAGGAAGCTATATTGATCCAACTCTATACAAGAGTTTAGTCGGGAGCTTGCGCTACCTAACCATCACCAGGCCCGACATAGTGTTCGCGGTAGGACTGGTGAGCAGATATATGGAGGAGCCAAGACAGGAGCATTTCAAAGCAGCCAAGAGAATTCTCAGCGATTATGGTGGAGATTTAGATGAAAGAAAGAGCACATCTGGCTACATGTTCAATATCGGATCAGCAACATTCTCATGGTCATCAAAGAAGCAGTCTGTCGTCGCTCTATCAAGTTGCGAAGCAGAATACATAGCAGCATCGACATGTGCGTGTCAAGCAATATGGCTCAGGAGTCTGATGAAGGAATTGCAACACCAACAAGAAGCACCGACAGAGATTCTCATCGACAACAAGTCAGCTATTGCACTTGCCAAAAATCCGGTAGCACATGGACGAAGCAAATACATAGAGACAAGATATCATTTCATCCGACATCAAGTTAAAAAGAAGACTGTGATGCTGTCATATTGCAAGTCTGAAGACCAAATCGCTGACATCTTCACCAAGCCACTAAAGACAGAGACATTTTTGAAGCTTAAGAAGAAGCTTGGACTTGTGAGAAATGAAAGTTGGTGATGAGGGGGAGTATTAGAATTCATCACCAACTTAGATTATTCTAGAACAACTTTCTAGAACTTCTTTCTAGTAACATCCTACAAAATATCTACCATGAAGTTTCTAGGAAGATACAAGTGTATGGCTAGTATTTATTCTTCTAGAAACTTCTTAGTAATGTATGGCTAGGATTAACTCTTCTACACACTTCCTAGCCCTCTTAAACAACTATAAATAGGGGTCTTGTGCTCTCATTTGGGCAAGCAAGCAAGCAAGCAAGAAGTAAGCTTGAAAGCTTGAGTGTGTAGTGTAGCCTTGTGTGAGTGTCCACCAAAATAAAGGAATTGTGTGAAAGTGAGGTGTTCTTGTAAGAACAAGTGTTGTATTCTCAAGTGTTCTATCAATAAAAGTTTCCTTTGTGTAGAGTGTTGTGTTCTTCAAATTCAGAAACTACTAACAGTTGCATTATCTGCTTTTAAGTCCATATAATGTCTTCGAGTTTATCAATTCTATCTATTCAGTCTGTTTCATCATTAAAATATGAGTTTATTTAGCTTGGGAAACATGATGGGGTGTCCTTTGCTCCTTAAGTGAAAAATGATGTGGTTCTCCATCTGAAGTGGTTCGTAATATTATGTGTTCCTGAAAGAGTCAAGAATTTCAATGGTTTTTCCTTATTCTGTATTTTTTCCAGTGTATTTTTAAGGATAACATGGTAATGTTCAGTGGATAACATGGTTATCTTCAGTGAGTTATCGTGAGCTTTCCTTGTTTTTCAGACAGTTTTATAGAAATTTATACACATGTATTCAATTCGCACCTCATGATCTAAAAGTTTCATGGAAATAGTTTAAACATGAACTTGCAAACTTATTGCGATTTTCAACGGTAGAATCCATAAGTCATCAGACTTGCTTTTATATTCCTAAACAAAAATAAATTTAAGATGCTTGCACATCATGAATTATTTACCGTTCACCTATCATGCTAGGTTGTTCCAGACAAATTCCACATGGAATAAGTACCTAAGCGCCAAATTAGTATACAATTCCAATTACACTGCTAATGTCAAAAAGAAATAAAACATAAGGAAGAGAATTAAGCTTACTGAAGCGTAGGAACAATTCTATTAATTTTAAAAATAATTCATAAATTTAAAATAAAAAATAAAAATTTTACCTGAATGGGGACTGCAAGAGAGGGGGACGTGGTTGAGGACTTGCGGGAGCGGTGGTGACAAGATAGGTACAGCGAGAGAGGGATGCGGCTGTGGGTCAGTCGAGAGAGAGAGAGAGAGAGAGAGAGAGAGAGAGAGGGAGGGAGGCGGGGGAGAGGGGGGG